TTTTCCCCTATTCCTTCTCCCACCGCTTTTCCCCGAGCCATATCGTGCATTTTTACTGTCCCTCCGCAGCCCCAGTTCTCTCACGGCCAAGGGGAGATGCCGGGCGAGGACCCTCCCGTGGGCAGGAGCCCACCCCTGCCCGATGCCCTTGGCACCCAAGGGACCCGCCACCCCCAGCACCCCCCTCCAGGGGATACACCCAGCCGAGGAGGGGGGAGATGGACGGGACAGAACCCCCCCGGCAACCCAAAAAAACTGCAACCCACCACTGGAAACACCACCACCCCCCAAAAAAGAGGGAGAAATCCAACTTGGAGCCATGCTCCTTCCTCCCCACCCTCCTCCTCCTCCTCCTCCTGGCTCCCAGCCTGCAGCCCTGCAGATGCCCAGCTCTGCCCTCCACCCCCGAGGAGATTTGGGGTCCTGCCCCATCTCACCTTTGGGACACTGGGGTGCTCTGGGGGAGCACCCACCACCCAGCACCTGGGGCTGCGCTTTCCCCGCAGATTTTCTGCTTTTTCCTCCATTAAACCTCATTTTCTCCCCTCCCTGGTGCCTTTTCCCCCCTATTTTTCCCCTCTCTGCTTTGATTTCTTGCCTATATAAAAGGGTATGAAAATCACCCAAACCCCCACGGGATGGGCCGAGCCTTGGGTGCTGCTCACTGATCGCCTTTTTATCTTATTTTATCTTATTTTATTTTATTTTATTTTGCTAGGGCTGGGTTTTATCTGGCTTCCTCACCTCAGCTGTGCCGGGATCTTCCTTGGAAAAAAACCAAATCCCAAACTGACTCCCAACACCTTTCCCTGCTCTGTGGAGGAAATATTTAAAGGGGAGCAAGGGGTTTACGTGGCCTGTCGATATCTTTTATCTTGCCAGCCTCGTCCTTATATTAATATCACTAAAGCAGGATGTGAAAGGGAAAAAAAAAAAAAAAAAAACCAAACCAAACACCAAAAAGCTGATGAGCTTTACGTATAAACTCCCCAGGAGAAAGGAGAACCTTCTCCCTCGCCAGATCCGCGGCCCCAGCTATCACAAAGGGGGCTGAGACCGTGATTTGTTTCGTGGCAGCTGAAATCGATGGGGGAGAGAGAGGGGGGAAAAAATAAAAATACC